CGTCTCGGCCTCCCAAAGTGTTGGGATTACAGGCGTGAGCCACCGCGCCCGGCCGATTTTTTACATTTTTTAATTTCAAAATTTTGCCCTCAAATGTGTGGGTATTTTTAATTGTTGATCAGACTTCTGTATGTGTACATGTATGACAGACGGATATTGTAAATGTCTCCATGAAGAATCCATCAGCAATACTCAAATTTTAGGCAATTCTGCAGGACATATGACTCAATTTTTAAATTAAATACATTGCAATAAAATAAATAAAATAAATCCATTGCAATAAAAATGAGATGGAAGTGAAACCTATACATTAAAGCACACATAAGAGGTATTAGCCAACCACAGTTGTGGATCTTCTTTGGATCCTGATTCAAATAAACATTTCAAAAACACATGCCATTTGTGAGAAAAGTTTAAATTTGGATCCTAAGTGGATATTTAATGATATTAAAGAATTATTATTTTAAAGCATGATAATCGTATTGCAGTTATGTTTATAAAAAGTATTAACTAAATGTGATGTGGTATCATGGAACACAAAAATAAAAATCTAGTGGAATCCAAAGTCTGGAGTTTAGGAGTGATGTATTAACGTTAGCTTCTCAGTTTTGACAACTGCATTATGGTAATATATATGACCATATATATATATAATATAATATATATAATATATGGTAATTATTGTATAATATGGTAATATGATATATAATTTATATATATAACCATATATATTATATTAACAATGTAAGAAACCGAGTTAGTATACGGAAAATCTGTGTACTATTTGTCATCTTTTCTGTAAATCAAAAATTATTGCAAAATAAAAGTTTACTAAGAAAAGGAGGGTTTATCTCCATAAAGGCATATATTGAGACATTTATGGGTAACATTATATGATTTATAGAATTTTCCTCAAAATGATATGTGGGGCAGAGAAATAGGTGGGATTATAGATTAAACAAGATTGGTCATAAATTGTTATCTGTTGAAGCTGGGTTATGGTTGCATTTGAGTTCACTGTATTATTCTCTTTACTTCTGTGTATGTTTAAAGTGTTCTATAATAAAAATAAAATTTGAAGTTATATACGTGTTACTTTATATAACTTTAAGTTACATGCATAATTATAGTTATACATTATATAACTATAATTATTTAAATCAATACAACCCTTTCCTAAAGGGAAATGTGCAAATTTCCAAAAGGGTTGTATTGATTTACATCCTTTACACTTCCCTTTAGAAAACAGCATCTACTGGCTGTGAATCTGGTAATGGCTCATTCACATCAACTTTCCATCTGAGAACAATTACAAGGGGGTTGAAACGGAGGACAGTTTAAGGATCCTAAGAGGCTACTTTGAAAAACCCTTTGCAAATAATTTGAAAAACTAGATTATGTGGGTATGTTTCTAGGAAAATAAAAGTTTTTAAAATTGGTCTCAGTAGGAACAGAAAATCTAAACAAACCAACTACCACAGAGGAAATAGAGAAAGTACCAGAAGAGCTTCTCTGGCATGAAAACAAGATGTTTTTACAGGGAAATTCTGTCAAACATTTAATGATTAGATTATTCCAACATTATTAAAAATATTCCAGAGTTTATAAAAGAAGAAAAACTTCCAGATTTGTTTCCTGATGTGTTTTAACATTAGCCAGGCAAATAACACAACAAAGAATTCACTAGTACTGTACATTAAATACATCATTTCCAAATGGGTATTATTGCAGATATGCAAATATATTAATAATTCAATATTAGAAAATGCATTAAGATAACACAGCATTTTAAAACAGCTAATGAAAAAATATATAATCATCATATATACATGAATGGTTTTGATACACCCATTCATTCTGAAAACTGTCAATAAAAGAACAATGGATGGGGTTACAATAAAAAAGATAAGATAGATGGGAAACCTATACATTAACCTATATATTTTCATATATATTAATGATACCTATGTGTATATATACATATACAGATATGCATATATGTATATATGTATGTGTATGTATGTGTACATATATGTATATATGTTTGTATATACACACACACATGCACACACTCACATAATACGTATACATATACATATTTGTCCAACATCTTACTTACCATTGGGGGAAAAATCAGAAACTTTTTCACTAACATCAGGAACAAGATGAGAAGCCCACTATCTACACTACTATTTAACATTGTTTTTGATACTTAATTTAGGAATATGTTTTAAAATTTCCAGATGGATTATATTATTTTCTGGTTTGTTACTAATTTCTAATTATATTGCATTATGGTGAGAGAATTATGATATATAATTTATATATTTTTTTTAATTTATTGGGGGTTTTTTGGCTTCAGATATAGTCAGTTGTAGACAATGTCTACATTAGTTGAAAGTAAAGTGAACTCCTGTTAATGGAGTTCTAAGTGCTATATATAAATGAATTTCTACTCTATTCATAACATAGCTTAGGTCTTTTATGTTACTTAGTAAGTATAAGTGGTCTTGAACTCCTGACCTTAGGTGACCCGCCTGCCTCAGCCTCCCAAAGTGCTGGAATTACAGGCATGAGCCATCTCACCTGGCCTACAATTTAACCTTATTAATCAATTTTTCCTTTGGGATTTTGTTGTATGTATATTTTCAGTAGCAAAATTTTATATCAGAACACAATGGAGCAACTAATTTTAAAAACTCAAGAAATATGAATCAAGAATTTTATATTGAGTCAAAGGAAACGGAAGAAAGTGAGGGGCTCTTTGCTAAGCATATTTCCTAATACCTAAGAAAAGGCAAATCCTGAAGTTGCTTGGGAAATATGCAGAGTCTATTTGCAAACAGCAGCTGAAACTAGAAGGGATTTTTGCACAGTCCACTTTGTGGGTAAGTTCAAGGAGCTTGTTTTAAGGTCAGAAATGAATAAAGCAGTCAGGGTCCTATTAACTCTCAAAACTAACCCACTGAACTTTCTTCTGAATCTTTATCTTTTTCTTTGCTTCTTTTTAAAGTTTATTCTTCTCAAATTTTATTTTCCTTAAGAAGCATTATTCCATGTTTAATTAATCTTATAATCCTTTTAATATAGTCTTTATTTCTAAAATTACTTAATTACTTTCAGGGTATAATCACATCACCCTAAATTTGTGCAATTCACATTTACATTATTTTTATATATCTTATATTATTTTGTTAATTCCTTTTACCTTGTTTTGAAATCTTAGGTAACATATTTGTTTTGTGGATGTGCCTTTCTCTGAAAGCTTTTATTGCCTATACTGATACTATTCTGTTCATGTATTACATAAATTTATTATTCTATTATTATTATTATTATTGTTGTTTTTTGAGACGGAGTCTCTCTGTGTCGCCCAGGCTGGAGTGCAGTGGCACCATCTTGGATCACTGCAACCTCCGAGTCCTGGGTTCAATCGATTCTCCTGCCTCAGCCTCCCAAGTAGCTGGGATTACAGGCATGTGCTCTCACACTCAGTTAATTTTAGTATTTTTAGTAGATACGGGGTTTTGCCATGGCTGGTCTCGATTCCCTGACCTCAGGTGATCCACTCACCTTGGCCTCCCAAAGTGCTAGGATTACAGGCGTAAGCCACTTCGCCTGGCCTCTGTTTATTAAATAATACATTTCTATAATACTCTCTCATGATAATCTGCTGTTTGTTTTTATGTGAAATTCATTTTCTTAAACTTGTAGGAAGGTGGTAGATTAGATTATCTTGCTTCATGGCTATAAAGTTCCCTTTCTTTGATTTTTGCAATGTATTCCAAAAAAAATGACCATATACTTACTATGATCTCCTGACTCTCTTCCCTGACTCTCTTCCCTGCTATATTAACTACCTGCTTCCTTTGTCTCTGGTGTCCCTGTTTTTCTGAATTGGGATACCACTCCCAGGGATTGCTCTTCAATCTAGGGTTTTGGACTGATTGATACATTATGGATGTATTTTTAAGTTATATCCAGCAAGATTTGCTAATAATGAACAGAAGAGAAATCTTAAACTACAAATGTAGGAATATACAGAAATAATTATTTGAGCAAAATGGAAAAACAGATTATAATTAAAAATAAAACACTACCATTTGGGAACTTATTTAAAAAACTTACTAATCATTAGGTATAGGGTGTAAAAGAAAGAGAGGATTAATGAAGATGCCAAGGGATTTGTCCTGAGCAGTGGAAAGACCGTTTCCTTTAATGAGTGTGTGAGAGATGAACTGAAGAGCAAGTTAGAGTGGAGGAGGGGCAGGGATTGGAAGTGAACATTTAGGCATATAAATTTTGAACAATACATTAGACATAAAAGTGGAGATACCAAATTAAAAACTGATATGAAATTCAGAGAAGCTATCAAGGCTGAAGATATACCTATATTTGGGCAATGTAAATAAATGTATGGCTTTAAAATTATAATGCTAGATGAAATCACCAAGGGGATAAAAGGAATGTATGCTAATAAGAGATCCAAGGAGTAATCTTGAGTCACTCCAAATAAAGAAAACTAAGAAGGGGGGCTAGTGAAACAAGGGCAAATTGAGAGTAAGATGCCTTAGAATGCCTTAGAAGTTACTGGAAGAAAATGTTTCCAGGAGGAGGAAGTAATCACCACCTATGACAAATGCTACTGATACCTACATCAAATAAAATCTACTAGTCCATCTCACCAATGTACAGATGGAGAAACTGAACCCCCGAGAATGCAAGAAATCGTTTCAGCATCTCAGAGCTAAAGGCAGGCCTAGTGTTAGCGCTCATGTCACCTTAATCCTGATCTCAAGCTGCTGTTGTTTCTCATTAATCTTCAGTATTCAATCCACCAGCTTTCCATCCTAAGAAGTTTTGAATTAACAAGTTGATATATCCAAAACTATAAAATCTTTAGTCAATATGAATGATTATGTCTACTTTTAACACTGCTAATTTAAATCTACAGAGGGCTTTCATAAAAAGCCCTCCTTAAGAAGTAGAAAGATACTTACTAGATCATCTGAAATCTCATAACACCAGATAGCCAGAAGACCAGGGTGCAGTGGATTACAAAAAGCAATTCTAAAAATAAAAAGAGAAAACATTAATTAACCACGTTACATCTTTTTTTTTTTTTTTTTTTTTTTTTTTTTGAGCAGGGAGTATCATCTGGTGATACTGTCAAGATGGTGAAAGTAGGTGTTAGTGTCAGCTCTAACATAGTTACCAACCTACAGACACCAAGGAGATAGTGCTCCAACACAGATTTTGTAATTCCAACGTGAAAAATAAAAATTGGCCTGGCACAGTGGCTTATGCCTGTAATCCCAGCACTTTGGGAGGCCAAGATGAGCAGATCACTTGAGGTCAGGAGTTTGAGACCAGTCTGGCCAACATGGTGAAACTCTATCTCTACTAAAAATACTAAAATCAGCAGGGTATGGTGGTACGTGCCTGTAATCCCAGCTACTGGGGAGGCTGAGGCAGAAGAACCATCTGAACCCGGGAGATGGAGATTGCAGTGAGCCGAGATTGTGCCACTGCACTCTAGCCTGGGTGAAAGAGCAAGACTACGTCTTAAAAAAAAAAAAAAAAAGGAAAAAAGAAAAATAACAAAGTTAGTGAAAACAATTACATCTATTGAAACCCTTCCCAACAGGGCTGGGATTAGTCAGTAATGTTTTACTAAAAAAAGACTTGAAAAATCTCTAGACCCATTTGAAATACTTCACTTTTCTGTTGATGTAATTAGCCTTTCTATTACATTTGAATTGGCCTTTACACAGCGATATATTTTTTTACCTTGTTTGTCTCATGCAATTTACATATCTCCCTGAGCTTCAGGGCATTTTTTTCTATTTTGGAAAAAATAAGATTAATAATACAAAAAACGCAGAGACTATAACAGCAAAGACTTAGGTTAATATTTTTCCGTACTTACATACTTACGTCATATTTTAAAAATATAAGCCACTAAATATTCCTGATAAAAATTGTCTCTAGAATTCCTTCCTCAATCCCATTCTCCTACCTTAGCTTTTCCCTGGAGGAGGAAACAACTGAATTTTATGTTTATCCTACCAATCCATACACACACACACACACACACACACACACACACACACATATATATAAAACGGTCACACATATTTTTAAATTACACAAATGCTTCCATACTATGTATATCTTCCTACAAATTACCTATTACTCCCAAATTAGATTTTAGAAATCTATCATTGTTGATGCATAGATCTAATTCATTATTTTTAACTGCTACATAACATCATACCTCAAAAATATACCAAACTTTCTCTGTCCATTTTCCTATTGATGGACATTTAAATCATATCCAATCTTTAACTAGTACATACTGCACTGCAGTGAACTTATGATGTGTACCTCTTTGCACTCAAATAGGAAAACTTCCACAGAAATCATATCTAGAAGTAGAATTGCTGGGTTTTAGTGTATGCACATATTTAGATTTTCTAGCTATTTCCAAATTGTCCTCTGCCAAAAAAATTGGCCTAATTTATGCACTTATTAGAAGTATATACTGGTTATTGACAGATTTTATAGTTTTGCCAACATGAAAACTATAAAATAGTGTTTCACTGATGCTTATATTTTCCTTTTCCTAATTAATATACAGGTATAGCATATTTTCACATACTTATTCCACAATTTTCTCTATTATAAATTACCTATTTGTGTTTAGTGCCTATTTTTCTCCTGAATTGTTCATACTCTTCTTATTCACTTGTAGAATGTTGTCATATATTTTGGTTTCTAGTCCTATCTTCATTGCATATGTTGGAAATATCTTCTAATCTGTCATATGTCTTTCAACTTTTTCATGGTATCTTCTTTTTGTCATATTAATGTTTTAAATTTTGATGTAGTATCTTTTTAAAGAAATCTTTTAAAATAAACTCTCTTTACTCACAAGATAACTCTTTCATATAGATATTTTAAACATATTTCATCTTTTGTGGTTCACATTTAGATTTTAATGCATTTGGAATTTTTTAAAAAATATATGGTGGGTTTGAAACAGGGATTTAATTTAGGGTTTTGTTTTTCACTTCTCTGGTAACCAATTATCCAAAACCACCACATGTTAAATAGTCATTTGTTTCTCTACTAATCTCTAATACTAACTCTGATACACACCAACTTTCCTTATATGTGTTACTGATGAATTTTCTTTTAAAAGTATAAAACTGCGACATTAACATATTGATCTGCTTTATTATAGGGAATTCTTAAAAGGCCTGGGTGGGCCAAGAGTGAGAAACTGAAACACTTTCATACAATCCTCTAGATGTCTCTTTTGGTATTTACCCTCTGGTTTCAAGATATCTGTCAAGTTAATAGAAAACTGCATTGTAAGATGATGAGAACCAATTTCAAGGTAGGTGGCAACAAGAGACGCCCCTTATACTGTGGAGAGGCCGGGGACACTCATTAAAGAGATGAACTATAATTAAGTTATAAACCAAACCAAGGTCACTCACCAGCAGTGCATCTTTGAACAAAGTACTTGATATTTCTGTCATCTATTAGACGGTCATAATAATGACTCTACTATAGGATGGTTATGAGAAATAAATGAGACGTGTGCAAAATGCTTATGATGGTACCCTACATATAACAACAGTTTGGTAAATGTCTGTTTTCCCCTAACAACGGAAGAATGCTTACTGTTGCATTTAACAATTAATTCTGTTCACTGAATTTCATAACTATCTCTCCATTATTTTGACCGTGTCCACTCCCCTACCTGCTGAGAAAGTTCTGACATGTAAAGATTTTAGGTAACCAAGGGGTGGACTTACCATCAAATGCTGTCCACAGAAGTATTCTTAGAACAGAAATGTGTCTCAATTAGCTTTTCCAAGCCAGGATTCACTCTTCACCCTCAGGAGGTACAGCAGGATGCTAGTCCTGTAATGGTTCTCACACTTTTGCGTCTATCAGAATCTCCTGAAGGGCTTGTTAAATACAAATTGCTGAACCCTGCCTCAGAGTTTCTGGTTCTGTAGGTCTAGGTTGAGATCTAGGAGTTTCCAGCTCAATAACAAGTCCCCAGGGGATGTTGGTGCTGCTGGTTGAGGAGACCACATTCTGAGAACCACTACTCTATAGTATCACTACATGTGTGTTATTGCTATTAAACACTTCCTTGCTAACGTTCTCTTTGAAAATGTGCTGCACTGGAGAAATTTAGTTACAATTCGCCATGCAATGACCATTCATACAAATCTAGAGAAGATTTTAGAAGAACATATTGTACTATAATTACGTTATTTGAAGTCAATTTGGGACACTGTTTGTAAAAAGTAGCTATTTAAAATTGCGGAGCAAATAAATTGTTGGGTTTCCAACTGGGCAGAAAATGTAAATTCCTGTAACACTACATTTGTTCAATTCATTTGTTAAGAGAAGCTACAGTGACAAATTCAATGTGCTGTATATTTTACTCACAGCGATCTCATTAATACTAAATCTTCAATGGAATCATACAAGCAAAACAACTGGATTAGAAGTAATGCCTGCTGGGACTAGTTTTAGATAATGGAAAACAAAAAGAGAATCTGCTTCTGGTAAAACGTAAAACACTGAGATCTAATCAGTCTAAGAGACAGCTTGGTCATAGTTGAAATAACATTGCACATATAATCAAAGAACTGTTTCTAATTGCTAAATATTTCACTAAATAGCCATATAAACTTGAACAAGCATCATAACCTGAAAACTCGAATTTTCAGTTTTCTTATCTGTAAAGTGGGAATTATAATGCCTAACTTATAAGATTTTTGTAAATAATATATATATATATATATATAAAAATCCACTTCCTAAACAATACATACAAATCTGCTTCATAAACTATAAAATGCTATCAATATTTAAATATCATGTGTCAATCAACAATGTATTAAGGCACATAGCAAGTTACTAATACCTGAAACTTTCTCCTCCACAAAAATAACTGAAAGGGGCAAAGCTGACATCCCCAACTCTCCCAAGATTAGTGTTGGCAGATTCAACAAATGAAAATACAGAATGCACAAACACAAATTTCAGATGAACAACAAATAATTTTTAGTGTATTTCACGTGCAATAGTTGGGATATACATATAACGAACATTTTATTCACGATTTACCTCAAATTCAAATTTAACCCTATATCCTGTGATTTATCTGGTAACTCTATCCAAGAAACTTACATTCCTAGAAATGACTCAATATTTCCACTTTCCTTAAACCTTTAGACCCTTCTGCAACCCCTGGCCCCTAACTCTTGCAAGTGAACAAGTTCTTCTCCCACATCATGGAAAAAAATGTTCCTTAGCCTAGGCCAATACCCACAGCACTTATACCACCTCAATAGACACGTCTAATTTCCAGAGTTCTTCCTTTGCCCCTACTGTTACCATGAATCTTTCATTTTCAGCTGTCTCACATATGATGACATACTAAACTAATGTTGTTCCTCACAGCCATATTGTGAGACCTTCAGGCAGGTGTTACACTATGCTGATTGAAACTATAAAGAAGCTAAAACACTGAAAATTAAGTGACGTAGGCAATATGGGGCTGAGCAAGAACTAAGTGCCTTTTCTTGAATCTTTACCCAGACCTCATTCCCTTCTACACACATTGCCACTCCAACCCGATACCCTGATCACAGCCACCACCAGAAGGAAGGGGAAAAAAGGAGTTGTTATCTGGTCACACTGGAAGAAGTGAATTAAGAAGTCAATAGGCATTACTATGTATAAATGAGAACTAATTGAATGAAGAAATTGATGACACCTGATATAATGGCTGAAGGTAAAACAAAGCCATCCATTCTAGTTGCTGCATCCTGAAGATTCCAAGCTCCACTTGAGGGCATCCAAGCTTTTCCATGACTCATTAAGCATACCCAACTTATTCATATGGAATGTTCATCCATGCATGCAGAAGAAAAAACAACTAACAGCAGGGTTTTCAGTACTCAGCATAGTAAAAAGCTGTTACATTTGTGTTCCCAAAGCTTTTTTGGATGTTGTTGACTCAGTATGGAATTTTTAG